GCAGCTGTTGACTGTTGGAAGCGGGTTTTTGTTTCATGAGGGTCCAATCGTAGACGCTGTCCCAGGCAAAATCGAAGCTCTTGAAGAGTTTGCGGAACAGTCGGCGAAGGTAGAGGTAGTCGGGGGGTGCTTCGAAGGCCATGTCACGAGCGTACTGGAGGTATTTCTCGAATTCAACAGCGTAGCCGCGACAGAGAGCTTCCGGCGTGGTTGCCAGTTTTTTCTCGTAGATTCTCTCATACTTCTGCTTCTTTGTGGCGGCCTGAAAGAAACAGATTGTTCGAATTTAGGTAAAGCGACTTCTGCTCCCAAAAACCCGCAAAGTATACTTTGTTAACTTTAATGCTCACAAACGCGCACTTCACATAGTACTATTGCTACTTCCAGCCACAGCTCTATGTGTAACTGAGCTCTATGATATCACGAGTGATAAGCAGGCACAGTTTTGGACAGTTCGGATGTTATGAGGAACTTTATCCGAAAAGAAGTGAAATCAATTTTAATAAATCGCATACCATAGGGAGGACTCCTTCCGCTTGGAAGTTAGGAAAGGGGAGAACTCAAGACCGACCGAAATCCTGTTAACGCGCCTGCAGACAAGAGGGCTCTTTACAAGGCATACTACCCCTAAGATATCAAGAACTTACTGAAACATAGTCACTTCCGTGGATCACGTGGTCTCGACCCAGTAAAAATTCTCATGCGCAAAATATTGCAACATTGCTGGTTAAATGAAACTGAAGTGCGACACAGTCGATGGAACTAAACTCGGTTAGACCTACAGAAACGGCCTCGGCCCGGCTAAATGGTCCCCCTAACCTGCACAAAGAAGGCTACATTCTATGGTCCACTCAAAGACACTCCAACTTACGGACTGGTAAAGTAATTTATGCGGCGACTCCAATTTCTGACAGCCTAACAAGACATTGGCGTGAGTTCGTCGAAATTCGTCGTGGGGGAAATTAAGCAAGTAAGTATTTCACTAAGTGGAGTCGTGGCATCCTTTGCTGTCAAGTTTTGGGATAATTGTATTTTCGAGACTACTCTAAGAATCAAATGTGATACGGAAAATCGCCTCAGATCAGTCCGAATCCTGTAATTTCTAGAGTTTCGCATCTAAACGGCAGCATTAACTGTACAAGCAGGGCAAAACGACGAGTTTTTCGACTTCTGTATTCGTGGACAAGGCGGTTTTAC